GGAAAGAAAACCAGGAAAACAAAAGGAAAAGACAGGCGCAATACAAAAATATATTTCTAGGTATATAAAGAAAATTTTACTTTTCCTAATTTTCCAAACAGCACATAACTCAAACTATGTTGTTACGTTATTACGTATCATTTTGCCTCCTACATCGAGTAAATTATTATAATTCAAATTAGCTTTGGATTAATCCTGATCGAAAGTATCCTAACAATGCATTGGCACTGCTTGCACGAAGATAATATAAAAATGAACGAAGTTCTTTTTATTGTATAACCATTTTCCTACTGATTTGCTATAGAAATACTCATCACTCGACCCATCGAATTCATATACGCTTACTATTATTACGTTTTTCTACATTGTCTGGCAACACAATAAAGGATATCTAAACAAAAGCTACCGGTTCGTGAGAATTCAGATAGTGGTTCCCGAACTTGAAACTGGTAAGGTCGTCAGGAGTAGGGGGCATCTTAGGCTTCATACAAGACGCTGTCTCCCCTGTTTTACTAGAACGGTACGGACCGTAGACCGACAACGTGTTCTTTCTACGCTAAGCAACTCCTTCCTTTTTCTTACAAATCGGTTCAAGTATATCTCATTGTTCCCTCATTCTACGTAGTTTACTTCTATAATATTTCTTTGTCAATAAATATCGAATACAAGTGAGAGGAAAAACAGTGATTACTCGAAAAAGGAAATGCAAGTGAACAGTGAAAACAATCCTGCATTGCTCCGTGTTCCCCATGGCAAGCTACTGAACGAGAAGAATGCACGTCAAGGAAAGGTTTCTCTAACTCTGCGTGAACTTATAGATGCCTTGCATGAATCTTTCAAAACTGACCATGTGAATATAGACGATGTTCAAGATCTTATGGCCTCGTACAAGAGCAACCCTTTGGAATGGAAAAAATACGCGAAGTTTGACAGATACAGGTAAACTAACAATTACCCTCGAAATTATTCTGTGGTTTAAGATGATAAATTTTAATACGCGATTCTGCATTCTTCGGTGCTTTAAAAACACAATGTACGATGTGCACTTCGATATACTGATTTAGTATAGTAATGAATAGAAATCTCGATAATTAGTATGTCAATAACAAACGTAAATGATTTTCGTCGTATTTTTAATCGATTCATGCGTCTTACATTCGCGAATGATCGAATTTCTTGGTAAATATTTTATCGGTCGGCATACAAACAGAACGTGGCACAACTACGTCGGAATCATAATAAAATTAATGTGACGAAATTCTTGATAGGTTATCACCCGTTAGTGTTTCCCCAACCCTGATCGTCTCCGAAGTATTTCGTTTCATTTAAAACACAATCAAATTGAAGTAATTAAAAATTCAACAACCTTGTACCTAAATTATCTGCGCAAGTCGACAAACGAACATGGAGTAAACGACCTCAAGAAAAATAAGAGAAAAACGTCATCTGATTTCCGATTGCAGCAGCAAAGACTTAAAAATTTACTGCAATCGTCTGCTACTCTTATCTGAAAAAAGTAGACATTAAAAGATTTTGTAACAATCTCATACTTCGTATTACTATTACATCGATACAATAAATGACGTAATGTATATATACATTAGAGACCTATCAATGTGAAATTCAATACCAGAATTGTTCCAGAAAGACGCGAATAATGACTTGTGCTACAATTCTATTGGAAATAATTGTTTACTATGAAACAATAATTTTTTTTATGTAATTAAAGAATGACAAATGGTGTACTATGATATTTAAGTTTACCAAGTTTGAATAAATTTGAACTGTAAAATAATTTTAAAAAATAATTATAAATCTTTTTAAAAATATAAAGTAAAAATTGAGATCTAAATTGGAAGTACACGTGAATTTGTTTGGGCTTCTTTTCCTTCCTGTATATAATATAACTACTCTACAAATTACAAAAGCAATGATAATAATCATATATAGTAATAAAGTAAAAAAAAATTGACGTATATAGTATACAGAATTATTACACGTAATTGTTGATATAAGCGATTTTCACACGATACGCGAAAGTATGGAAACTGTAGTTCATGCACAACCTCTTTACAAAGTAGAACAGACTACAACGAACGGAAGAAAAAAGACTACTAATTATATAAAAATCGTGGAAATATTCATCGAAATATTCTATCGACTCCTAGTATTGTTTCTGATTAATTTTATGAATGAAAAAATTGAACTTGTTTATTTACTCTTTTATTTATTATTGAAAATTGAAAAAAAACTATTTTTTATTTACTATTCGAAGATTCGTACGAAAACTATCTATTCTTCTTTTATATTTGTCAATGCGATCTACGAAGACATGATTGAAAAATTTGACATCATTGCAACCTAAACCTAAGTATGCGGAACACTTCAGTATCCATGTGTATTGCACATAAATCACTAGTGTTTGTACGGTGAATGGTTGGTTACTGGTTACACACACTTTCCACGTATGCCCCCTTCTCTTAACTTACATTACACTTGATTCAGAACATCGGTTCTTTGACACGCGACACTTATCGTATCGAAAGTTACAAGCGACGAAATGTTCACCTATGTCTAAAAAGAATGTCCATATTGTATTTCCCATCAAATTAAATCACTATCCTTTAATATAATTTAACGTGATTCACCAATGCGTATCTAGTTTAACTGAATAAAAAATTCTTACGAAGGAATTAACTGAGTCATTGCGTTTAGGTATACAAGGAATTTAGTCGACGAAGGAAATGGAAGGTTTAACCTAATGGTTCTATGTTGGGGAGAAGGTCATGGTTCAGCTATACATGATCATGCGAATGCACATTGTGTAATGAAAGTTCTCCAAGGTGAACTTTGTGAGGTATCGAACACAGTATTGTACTTTTTTCATATATTTATAGTGAACAATTTTTTGAAATGATTATGATTCTATAGACACGATATAAATGGCCTAAGGAGTGCAATAATGAAACAGAAGAACCAGAAGAACTAAAAGAGTTGGAAAGAAATACCCTTGGCCTCAATGAAATATGTTACATCAATGGTATAGTTTACGAGTACAGTTTATTATATAATATTGATAACATTTCATTTTAAATTGATTTACAAATAATTATTTACAGATTCTTTAGGGCTCCATAGAGTTGAAAATCCGAGTACCGTAAATCCTGCTGTTTCGTTACATTTGTATTCGCCGCCATTTTCTTCCTGTTCCGTCTTTAATAAGCAAACTGGGCAAAGGATCTCGTGTAAAGTCACATTTTGGTCGAAATATGGCGAGAAACGAAACCGGGTATGATTATTCACCTTCATTCTTCTTTTCGTGTATTAATACTACACAAGGCCAGGTTTAAGTTGCAACTTAATTACTTAATTTTGCAGGATATTCAAGATGCTAGGTCTCCTGAGGATAATTAATATATTAAAATCAAAATTGGTAGAAGTGAAATCATTTTGAATAAAAATAAGATAACGATGAAGAATAAAAATTTGTTGAATATTAGCATGTAATTATAAAGAAAGGAAACATTGAGTATTTAAACGTATTTAAGTTTAGTTAAGTATTCTAACTTTTGTTCGATTTATGTAACTATACCAAATTATTTAAACGATCTTGACATTGTTATACAAAATCTAAATGCTGTATATTAAGAGAATAAAGTAAAGAGAATAATATTAAATAATTAAAAATAAAGAAAAAATAAAGAAAAGAAAATAATGACAAATTTCAACAAACCGAAACACAGCCAATTAGCTCTATATTATTTGTGATATAATTAATAACTATGTCACAAATAATATCGATTGCCCAGATCTCACCACGTGGAGGTTGCTGCATTTGGAGATCCACCCGATCCACGACACCCATCCTCCCTGCCATTCATTAAAATTTTATTCAATTTTAAGTCCGTTCAATATACATTTGCATTACGTACATACTCACAAGTCCGTTTTGCAAAAGTAATATAAATGAACTCTTTTTTCTAGCCTACCCGAACGGAAAACTAAAAGTCAATCCCTGAAACAGAAATTTCCTGAAACATATAAATATGGATTAGATTATAAACAAATGAAACAGCTTTTAACAATGATGCAAAATTTTATACCTAGTAAGTATAAATAATACTGTCACAATATAAATAATAATATTTCATAATCTACTTAAATAAAGTATTTAACTATCTTATTAACGTTATTACTTAAAAGCCCCACTACACCGCTTCTAATAGCATACCAACTACCAACAACTACACCAACAACTACAGCAACTACACCAATATCATATCAATTGAACATACCATATTCATGCACAAAATATTTAAACAAACATATTACATTTAATAACAAAAACATAAATATTCGTACAAATAAATAAATTAAAACAAATTAAATTGTTTGCTATAGTGACTTTTACATGTTTTACCTAAAGAAACCTGAAATTGCAAAATTTTTGTTAAGAATCTACCTGAAAAAAAGAAAATCAAACATTCTGAAAGCATTTGAGTATAATAATATAAATATTAATACAAGTACAAGTATATCAAAGCAATATATAGTAATATATTATATTTTATATATTTGACCTGTATGTATCTACCTGGGGAAGATTTTATTCAAGATCTGAAACAAATAAACAATCATAACAGTTTATAAAATAAAGTACTTACTGCTAAAACTATGTAAGTGCTGGAACAGAATTAAAATATTGTTTAAAATCATTTAAGAAGCAACAATTTTTCCTGTAAAGAATTGTAGTTTTAGTTTAAGTTCATAATAAAAAATGATAATCTGAAATAAAAAATGAATATAAATGGGAATATATGTATAAAAAATTCACCTGAAAACTGAAACAGACAAAAATTGATTATTAAATAATTTAACAAGGAAATTCTAAAAAAAATAAATCTACATTATAGTGACAAATTTATAAAATTTTGTACATTATGCATTAACATTTTATAAATAATAAACAGATACTGTTATTATACAATATAATCATAATACCAAATAAAATATAACTTTAATTTCAAAAAAGGATTTTTCATGTTTATACTATATTTTAAATCGTTTATACCATTTAATATAATTAAAAAATTGTGTAATAACAAAACACAAAATATAACATATATTTTTACCTTTATTAAAACCTACAAATCTTCAATATGATTAAACATTTACTTTTCGAAATCAAAATTATTGCAGTGATAATTTTCTTTGTTTTAAAACCATAATTTTATTTAATTTTCATATCATTTTAATTTTTATTTTTTGTTAATTTTCCATATATCTTATCATGCTTTTATCTATTCACACAATTACACATATATTTGTTTCTTTAATAAATAAATGTTTTTAGAAAACTATTTATTTAAGAAACTGTCTTTTTGATATTCACATTGGTTACTCCTAAACATACATTTCTTTTTTAAATAAATATTTTTTTTTAATAAATATTTATTTAAAAAAGAAATGACCTATAAAAATAAATTTTATTATATCGATATCGTGAGCATAGTGATAATGGCAAATCAAAAAACAATTATGAATTCAAATAATAACCATAAATATGTTTTCTATCTTCGGCTTTTAGCCTCTTCTTTCTTCGGGTTTGTCACATGACCACCTTTAATTCTATTTGAATATTCTGAATTTCGATTTAAAAAAAAAAAAGATAAAAAAACGCGTTGTTAACTAACGCATATCATACCACGACCAACCATTAAAACAATAGCTGTTCGGTGTACAACATACAAAAATTAACACGAATTTTCAAACAGAACCCATTTCACATGTATACTTCATTTTTCGTCCGGGTCTAGAACCGCGGGCGTACTTAAGAACTAGGTACGAACCATAATAATCAGAATCAAATAATAAAACATTAAATGATTCTAACTGATTCCCAGGTGCAGATATATCACGCGATTCTAATAAGCAACCCGAAATGAGAAATGTGATAATCTGCTCTTCCTGGCCCTACCTACTTATAGTATAGATCACACTCATACCAGAATAAACTACCTACCTACGTAACCCTATATTTAAAAAGGATGGCAAAACATACACACAAACACATTCACTCCACGGTTCTCTCTCATAACTCAGATGCAAAATGCCTACACTACGAGAGATACGTCCCGGGACGCCTCCGTCACCTGAGCTTATAGCACACACCTCTCATACACTAATTAGGTACGTACCAGTAGCTGAAATCGACTGACAACATTAGCGAATATTGCGTTAAATATTTATTTTCATATATTTAAATATCTAATTTCATTAATTGACTTTTTAATTTCTCGGATTCTCATTTCTCATATATTCATATGTGAATTATATTATTATTTCCAATGCAATTGTATGATAATTGCATTTTTTGTGATGCTATTTTTATTTTTATTAGTACTATTTTAACATTTTAGTAAGTCTTATATTATTCATTTTACATTCCAAATTTTAGATTCATTGTTTCATTATTATTTTAAAGTATAGTATATGTATATTATACATATGCATACTATATTCAACGCAAATTCCATGAACCTAATCACACTCACACACATGGAACTTACATTGTGCACAAACGCTGGATATTGTCAGTCGCCGAAAATAAGTCTTACAAACTAAACCGTGTCTACCACCTTTTCCCATGAGAGAGTACCTGAACCCGCTCATAAGTCTAGGTTAAAAAAAATAAAACACGGCCACAATAATTAACACGTACCTTTACTATATGCTGAAAATCCTAAAGTAAAACAAAAATTAATGAAATATCTAAGCGAACTAATTTTCTGTTTGAGTGGAACATTATATGAACTCTATTTAAAAAATATTTAATAACAAAAACTATTGAAAAAATGTATCCAAAACTTTTAATAAAAAATTTAGAAATTTTTTTTGTTAATTTAGTTATTCATTTATATGTACAAATATCTACAATTTATGCTATTTCTAGAATAAGAATATGTATCTTTTAGAAAATAAAAGAATCTAACTTCCACTCTAAATAATAATTTGCATAAACGAAACGAAAAGACCCTACCACAAGACAACAAATACAAAGCAAAATATATAAAAAGGGAAAAATAAACATTTATATACATATACAGAAACAAATATTTATATATATACAGTGGGTAAAAAGACTATTAATTTTTTAATTGGAAATTTTGATTTTGATGAAGTTTGTGTACATGTAAAGCATAATAAGTTTTACGCGGAAAATTTTTTTTATGAACGTTTTTAAAGAACAAAATAAACTATCAAAGTTTCATAAAGGGTGATAGAGCATCAAAAATTTCTTCTATAAAAAGTTGTATCTTTTACTGTTATAAAATTATCACTTGAAGTAGATGAAATTAACGATTAAATTTTCCTGTAATATAGTGTACCAAAACCTTTTATAACCACTGTATATATACATATATTCGTGCCTGTGTAATCACTATGCTCACGCGCGAAAAATTAAGAAATCTTTGAAGAAACACAAAGGACAGTAATCTGAAATCTGACTCACCAACCGTTGAAACTGCGTTCACCAAAACAATGAAGCTAACGACCTGCCGATATCGATGCCTCAGGCGAAGTTGAAATTTGAGACGAACCTGCGAGGGCATAAGTAAACATTGCATCAAAAATAAGAAAAGTACGTTAAATAAAGAACTACTGAACTATTGACAAAAAATTCAATGCTTTCATCAAATTTAACTTTTAAAACACTTACACTTCACATTAATTTTAACTTCCAATAGCGAAGAATTTCCATTTTGGTTATTTCATTACATGTTATTTTTTCTGTAATAAATACAATTTGTTATAATAATAAGTGTAAAATAATTAGATAATATTATTTGCAACAAAGGAAATTATTTCGTTTTAAAATTAACTAATCTTATTTTTTTAATGCGTTTCAGAGAATAAGTGAATATTGTTAAACAAATACAAATCAACAACGTATATAAAGTTATGTGACATAAATAAATCTGTAAGTTTATTTCCTTTGCTGCAAATAATATTATATATTTGACAAAATAATAGTTTTTGAATATTTACATGTTTCTTCGTTAGAACAATGCCCGAAGGAAATCCGCTCTGCCACATTCAACGGTAATGTCGTGCTGATTCAATTTCTTCTTTATTAGATTTTACTTTTAAAAAACAATTGAAAATTGACTTTATGATTTAACACTGACTTTATGATTTAATACTGTCTTTATGATTTAACACTGACTTTATGATTTAATACTGTCTTTATAATTTAACACTGATTTTATGATTTAACACTGACTTTACAATTGCAATATAAACTATCAAGAATATTTGCTGAAAAGAATCAGTATTAGAACAGAAGCAAAAAAAAAAAAAATAAAAAAAAATTTTTTTTAAATGCAAATTTCCAAATATTCGTAGTTTTGTTATATATGTGTGTCTTAAAATATTAACATGAAAATATAGAAAATGATCACTGCAATAAATTTTTATATCAACTCGTTAATAAATAATTAATTATTTATAACAAGTCATTTTTACAATCTATTTCTTTTACTTACTACATTAATAAATATAATAAAAAATTGATCTCCTTATTTAATAAAACATGAAAAATCCGCTTAATTTCTAATAAAAATATAATAAAAATGAATAACAATATCATTCATTAATTATCCAATGATATATAGTAAATGAAAAAAAAACCTTCTCCTCCATCATTTACATCATTTTTTTTTAAATTAAATATATCGTTTTCTGTACGAATTTTTACTTACTCGTATGTAGTTTTGTTAAAATGGTAGTAATATACACTGCACCGATCTTGTGTAGTTTCATGTAGCCAATGAATTTTCATTGAAAATTCTGTAACAAAAATAATAACAGTATTTTACTACACATCGTTCACATTTCACGTAGTTGATATTTTAATAATTGTTTGTAGAATCATTTATAAAACAATAAAGATATCTTAATTCGATCAAAAAACAAAAAATCGTTATATCGGAGAAGATTTTCTACTCTATCTTTTTTACGTTAAAATCATTTTACAGAAAAGGGAATTATTTATTTTCAATTTAGTTTTTAATCAAATTTTGTATTAATCCTACTAATTGAATTCATATGTGCGACGTAATAGAAAAGTACAAAAAATTATGACGTTATTATAAAGAAGAATGGAAAAAATATAACTCACTTCTTCCGTAATTTAATACTAAATATTTAGTAGAAATGTACTCAAATATTGTTCCTATGCTTTTATTTTCACTTTTTGATTAAGCTAACTAGCATTTATCAAAGAATAGATACGAAAGGAAAATTCACGTTCACTACCGAAGAAGTCACTTTTTTACAAAATGGAGGCTGAACTCTAAAAATCTTCTAATGTTAACAATGTACAAGTAACAAAAATGGCTTTTCCGTGCAAAAGAGGTGATGAACCCCGTAGGCGTCCGTTTGGAAAAAAGTGGCTTTTTATCATGAAATTTTGCTTTTTAGCAAGTTTAAATACCTATTTTATATGAAAAAGAATTTAAATTAGTTAAATCATATGTATATAATGTTAAACAATTAATAAAAATTGATAAAATTATTCTACTACATAAAAGGAAAATTGGAGAACATATTGCACATTTTCTTTATTACGATATATTACAATATAAAATAAATTTTATATTGAAAGTTCCTTACCTAATTTCTAGCAAGCCTCTTCTTTAGTTGCGACTATTTGAATTTCTTAATAAAACACAAAATTAAAAAATTAATATATTCAATCGGTCTGATTAGCAAAACGTCTTGACAGGACGAACGTGCATCGACGAATGATCGGTAACAGACAAGTAGCCGCGAAGAAAAAAGGAACACTCCTGATTGGTCCAGAAGACAAATAAAGAAGGAATCATCTCCCTCGCGAACTAATTCGCGAAGTATACGATTAAAACATATTTTAATATCATAAAAATATCAAATTTTTATTTATTTATTATTTAAAATTTTTGTATTTAAATTTAATATAAAATATCAAATTTATTATATTTATACATAAAATTAAGAAACATTATTTTCAAAAAATACACTGAAAATAATCTTATATTCTATTCTACATTAAATTTACAAAATAATACAAATATATTTAATCATAAATCAAAAGATATTAAAAGACTGGTGATTGGTAATAAAGTTCAATAATCGCTATTGGTTAAAATATTCGCGGGAGATCCTGCCTAAAAACATAAGACATATACATAGTAAATATTCATAAAATAATCCAAGAAATCCATACTATTGCGTATGTATATCATAAATTATAAAATTATGACCATTACATTAAAAAGTAATATTCCAAATTTTATTGATGTATAAATAAATTTGACGAAAGATCTTTTCAATCTTTTATAAAGATTGCAGGAAATATTTAATAGTTCCACAACAGGATTTTTTTATTTTAAAAAATAACTTCCTTAACGTAATTTTGATTTCATTCGTAAAAGAACAAGGAAATGTTATCACTGGAAATTTTCAAAATTTTAAACATATGTTATATTAATTAATATTATATTAAAATGCAGTTTTTAATATTTGTTGACATATAGCATAATATACATAGCATTTTTAAATTATGGTTTTAACGTTATTTCGTTACAATAATTATTTTATATCAAGACTCATTGAATAAAAAATTTTGTTTGCATCATTAATATTTTATTTATTCGTAAATGCCTAAAAAATCTTATAATCCTAAATAACAAGATTATTTGAACATTATAAAATAATAATATTAAACCTATCTGTAAATATATGTAAATATCTTTTCTTTCGTTTTGGCAGGACCGATATTTTAATTTAAGACATTAATATATACGGATTTGAATATCTTTTTCCGTCATGTAAATCTCTCTCTTTTGTTTTTACGCTACAGAACCACATTTAACATGTATACGATATTTGGCGGGAGACTTTGCTATTACTTTACCTATTTCGATTTATCTATTAATAAATTATAATATTTAAAATAATATCTGCAGACAATTAGTTAGCACGAATAAATGACAGTTTTATAATAATTACATCATGTCAAATTTATCTCATACACAGCGTGTTACAATGCTGTATAAGACAATTTTAAGGTTACATCGTGGTTTACCAACTGATATTCAAGCTTTAGGAAATAATTATGTTCGAGATGAATTCAAAAGACACAAAACATGTGATGAGGCTACAAAAGACATATTTCTAAAGGAGTGGACAGTAAGTAATATTAAATATTTTAATTACATATTTTTTTAATATAATAGGTTATCTGTTATTTTTTTTTTTTTTTGCAAGTTGATGCAAATATCAATAATTGTGGAAAAAACTACTTTTATCTTCAATAGTTAAAAATTATTACTATTAAAAATTACTGAAAATTTTTACATTGAATAGTGAAATTGTTTTATTTTGTAGGAATATGCTATAATGCTTACAAAACAACTTGGATTAAAAGGACCGCATACAGCTATCCCTCTAGGTGAGAATTTGAAAGAAGAAGATTTTAGCAAATTTAGGGATGAACAAATATACCAATTGTATGAATTAATGATAGCAACAACTGGTAAAGTCAAAAAGAATGTAAACGACACATAACTTAATTTTTCTAAAATATTGAAATAGTTTATATTATATAGTTTTTAAGATATTGAACATTAAATGGCATAGTATATAATTACTGTAATTTATTCATGTCACTGTTACAATTTAAATGTATATAATATGTGTATGAAAATTGTTATGTAAACAAAAAACACTATAGTAGTACTCTGTAACAATATTCATTGAACTTGTACATAAAGTATTATTAAATACCAATGCTACATTGGCATGTATTTAAGGTTATAATAAACATAAAATATTCTAGTGAAAAATGTCAAACAGTTTTTGAATACAGTAAGATTTTAGATATGAGTATAAAGACACCACTTCAAGAATAGTTAGCTATTACAAGTTTCAGATCTTACAAGTTCCACAAATATTGTAAACTTTCAATTAGTCAAAAACAGAACGATATCGATAATCGTTTGTTCTTATCATTAAAAATTTTTATTTTCAGTTTGTACTAATACATATTCAGTTAGGTTATGAATATATCTGGTTACATAATATCCTCATAAAGTGCTATTTATTACAAAATTTTATAAATTATAAACATTGACATAAAATCTAAAAACGTTAATTAACAAAAGATGAAAGCTTGGAAAGAATCTGCTAGTTTAATATTGACAGCAAGACAAACACAAAAGTATACTCGCTCATCTTGTACAAATGTAAGTAATCCAATTTATATGTTTGTCTGATTAAAACATTTATATACAAATGCATATATGTTTTAAGACAGTAATCAAATGTAACCAAATTTAATATTATGTATACGATATCGATAATCGAGTTGTACTTTGTACTTTGTACACCAAATACGCGCGAGAATTTAAGATGTTCCTTGAATTGTGGTGTTTATCAAAAAAGCAGGTAATACTAATCAAAGTTTAGAAATTAATATCCAGTTTCAGTATAATTACAATCTGTTGTGTCTGAAACGGCATCGGAATTCGAAATTTATGCCGAGTACGCATGTATTTCCTGGAGGAGTAATACATCCATCAGATGCCGATTTAAAATGGCATAATCTTTTTTCTACCTTCGGTTTTGATGTTAATAGTTTTACATCTTTGAATCCAAATACTTCTCTCCGTCCACAAATTTTCAAATTCAGACCGAACGAATTGCCAAGAGAAATTTCTTTACGCATTACTGCAATTCGTGAAACTTTCGAAGAATGTGGTATTCTTATTTGCAAGCAATCAATAGAAGATACTACTCACGTTGGTTGGGCAAATCATGTAAAAAGTAAATTAATTTATGCAGAAAAAGGTTTTTATAAACGTAAAATTTTTTCGTTAAAATAAGTAAATAAATGACAATTTTCTATTTATTTTGCTTCAGTTTCTGAAAATGAATTACAAAATTGGCAAACAAGAGTGCATAACGATGCCAGAGAATTTTATATATTATGTGAAAGTTTTAATTGTTATCCAGATCTATGGTCCCTTTATGAATGGAGTAATTGGCTAACACCAACTTATTTTATTGGACGACGTTACGATACTGTTTTCTATTTAGCTAGTATTTCTGCTATACCTCAAACCATTTGTGACATGACAGAAATGGAAGATTTGAAAGTAAGATTTTAACAATATATTAATAATATCATTTGTGATTTATATATGCGTGTATGCCTTTGACAATTAGTGGGATGTGCCTGGAAATTTTTTATTTTCATCTTCCAATATTGCATTGCCACCTCCACAACAATATGAAATTGCAAGAATAGCGAAGTTCGAAAGTATAGACAATTTGCTAGATTTTGCAATCGATCGTAGTAAAATGGGTGTGCTCTTAAATTTACCAGTATGTACACGAAATTTAAAAAATTGTTTCTGGCATTAAATAAATATCTATAATAATATATGTATATATTTAGGTAAAAGTAGAATTGCTGGATGGACAAGTGCACGTTTTACCAGGAGATTCGATGTATCCTAAACAAGTAAATTTGATTGACAAACAAATTATTAATAGGACTGATATTACTATCCGTGAATTTCGCGATATATCTCCTATAAAGAATAGGATGGAATATTTCAATCTGCAAGTAAAAGAACTTTTTGTTCAAAATTGCGATAGTGCTGATGGTCATTTAGCTCCACTTCAATTAAAAAATGTTTCAGTTAAAACGATACATAAAAATTCTAAACTGTAAGAAATCTATTTAATGATGTACAATAATCTTTTAATATACAATATTATTCTGTACTGTATATTGTAATCGAGAATCGATTTTACTGTATCAAGATTTATCTGATGATTATATACTAATTTTTAAGAAAAGTATTTTGATATTGTCTTTCGTAATTTTCTATTCCTTACATAAAAATTCTATAATAATCTATAAACATAGGATAATATTTTCTCATATATTATTTAGAATAATTTTCTTAAAACAGAAGCGGAAAAAAAACGCGGGAAAAATAGCAATATAGTAATGGCCGCGTAAACATTTGTGACATATCGAAGTTTTAGGATTAAAGATGTTTTGAAAGTATTTGTATTTAGTAAATAAAATATTTTTAGGTAAGTTCATATTTATTTTTAGTAGTTTTGCTAATTGTAACTATTATATAACATTTATTTTTGTAAACATTATGTGGACAATCTTAAATTTCAAAGTAATAAGGTTACAAATGCATTTAATATACAGAAAAGCGGATACGTATTTTTCAGAAAATGGAATATAGTAAAAGACGACGATATACAGTTAATGTTAAAACTAATGATCTTCAAGAAATTTATCAACATGACTTACAAATGTATAATTTTGTTCCAAGAGGGGAAATGCCACTTGCAGAATTTGAACAATTAGGCAGAGACAGATTAAAACGTATGTATTATGTTGAATTATAGTTAAGTTATCATTTAATAATTTTTTTATTTTTATATAAATGAGATGAGAGTGTACCTACTTAATTATCAAGTAGAATCACTTGTTTAGATACATGATTCTTTATTTTAAAAATTTTGCACATCTTTTATATGCAAAAGGATGCAAGTCATCTACAGAAACTGATTTAGAATGTAGAAGAAAGGATCATATATCACATTTTATATTGAGACTATCACATTGCCATGAATCGGATCGCCAGATGTGGTTTATTAATCAAGAAGTAGAATTATTTAAATTAAGATTTAGCTCATTAGATAAGGAAGGAATAGAAAAGTTACTTAGTATGCATAATACTGAATGTCAGCAAGTGAGAAAAAAACAATAAAATAAAATATGAATTGCTTACCTATTGAATCTATAATTATTCTTTTTATTGTTAATATTTTTTCAAGATCACACAAGAAGAAAAGGATGAAATTAGGGAGGAACTTCATTCATCAACATCATCTACAAAAGTCACAAATATTGACATATCAGAATTTTATAAAGTGCCTTTTAGTAGAGTCACTGACTTAATTAGGTCACGTCGTGTTTATTTAAGACAAGGAATAGCAATTATACCACAAGCAGATTTGGTATCTTTATTTGTTTCTTATTTTAGAAAACATTTACTTGATGGCATGCCAGTAAGTATTCCTTTGTTATTATATTAGTTAATCAAGTGCTATTTAAATTGTCATTAACATGTTTCATGTTTTATTTAGTATGCAAGATTATCTGTTTCACAAATTTGTGGTGATGAAAGATTAGTATCGTATCTTAAATCTATACCTAATATTTCTAATAAAACATGTGTTGTTTGGACCACTACTACTACACCTGTAGATAAATTGGATGAGGTAAGTAATTTATATCTTATAACCTAAATTTTATATAATATTTTATAATTTTTAGTTATCAAAGACATCATATCCTTTGTGCATGAGGACATTACATGACGCAGTTAGAACTCACCATCATCTTAGAAATGCTGGACGTATTCAGTATGGTTTATTTATAAAAGGCATAGGAGTAACATTGGAAGATGCTTTGTATTTTTGGAAAACAGAATTCACAAAGAAAATTGATGCAGGCAAATTTGATAAAGAGTATGCCTATACTATAAGGCATACCTATGGCAAAGAGGGTAAACAAACAAATTACACTCCTCTTGGGTGTCCAAAAATTATATCTTCTGCTATAGGTTCTGGAGAATATCATGGTTGTCCATATAAACACATGGATTATGCATCACTAAGACAAAAATTATTTAATTATGGCATACCCGCAGCAAGTAAGAATATTGTCCCTTTAGTCTTATATTGTAAGAAATGATATTTATAGTTTTATGTATTTTAGATATTAATGAAATAACAGACTTAGCCAAAGATGGGCATTATCTTGGTGCTTGTACAGCATATTTTAAAGTTTTACATAATCGTTTACCTGATAAACCTATTATTCATCCAAATGGCTATTTTATAGAAAGTCGAAACATATTGAGTAAAGACAATGTAGCAGGTACAATAATGTTCTATATCAGAAAAATATATAAATTATTTTAAGAAATAAACTTATTTTTGTCTTCTGTAGAAATTGAAAACAAAGAAAGACTTTCACAAAGTGGAAAGATGAATGTTGGTACTCCTAAAAACATCGATAGAGGTATGAGTACACCTTTGAGAAGTATTGATAGAGTCACTACATCATCGATAAAAAGGGAAAGAACGAATACGACTCCAGTTAGAGCATCTAAAGCAACTCCGAAACGAATAGAAAATCATCTCGATGATGATGATATCGCTAAATTAATGAGTGAAGACATGTAAGGTATAAAAAATATATATTTGCTAAATTTTGTATCTTATTTTTGTTGTAAAATAAATAATATTTTTATAGGTTGGCTTATAGATTAATTGTTTCCTAAACCATATTATGTTATATATAACTGTTGACCTCTTTTAATGATCTTTTGTTTGGCAAATTTTTCTTTACGTCGCGTACCATTGATTCTACAAGTTTTTCTAAGTTGTACTTGTGTTGCCAACCCCAATCTCGGCGCGCCTCACTATCATCAAAAACTTGTGGCCAACCTTCAGCTAAAATTTGAATAGCATATTGCTTTTTTACTTATTCTATTGATTAATAGTATACAAATATTGCACACTAACCAATATATTGTCTTGCATCTGGTTTATATGAAATTTGTAAGTCGGGAACGTGTTTTCTAAATTCACTAAATAATTCTTCGGGTGTGAAACTCATGGCAGTTACATTATATACTCTTCTTTGTAATTGTTCGTTTGGAGCGTTTAGAAACTGGAAAAGTGCTGATAGACAATCCTCTATGTACATCATTGGTAATCGTGTGTACGGCTCTAAATAGCATTCGTATCTTTTAGTAAGTAAACCTTCATGAAAAACTGCAACTGCATAATCTGTACAGAAAAAAGAAAAAGGATTATATAATTAGGATATTCATTTTATAAAAAATATTACATTGTTACAAATCGTGACTTTATTTATCATATGATTTTTGCTGTTATTTCAAGATTTACGCTTCAGGAGATAAGAGAAACGCAAGAAGCGATCTCACGGTTCATGATCAAGAGACGCTGAACAATTTACTAATACTGTTGTCTTTAAAGACCGATAGATTGCATTATTATGCAGTTATTCTAATCACGATGTTCTACTTTTCGATGTAAGAAAGTATTTTTAAAATAAAATCGTATTCGTCATAAGTTTAAGGTAGTAAATAATACAAAAAGAGAAAAGAAAGAACGAAGAATAAAAAGTTATAAAAAATTATGAAAAATACACCTGTGGTACCACCACCTGGTGGGTCACTGCTGATGACACCCGGAAATCGAAGACATCGGAAATCAAGACCGAATCTATGGTGATAATATTCACCTAATAATTCAGCGTGAACCTTACTAACGCCATAAATCGTTCGTGGGCGTTGAATAGTTATATTTGGGGTAGGATTCCGTGGTGAATCTGGACCAAATGCTCCAATTGTCGATGGAATAAATATCCTTAATTTATACTGCTTTGCCAGTTCAATAACATTATGCATACCTATCATAAAATGTTAATTTCTTATTAAACAGTTTGTTAGATAGTCTTTGATAAATCTTATAAATTCTTTTAGACTTTTTTCAACTTTTGAGTTCGAATAATAATTATATTTGTTCCATTGTACGAAAATTTTTTTCAAAGACATCTTCCAAGAAAGCTACTTTCTCTAACGTACTTTCTTTCACGACTGCGATAACAACATAATTATTATCATAACGACAGATTCACTAAGTATGACATTCTATTTCACTCTAATCTTGTGTAATTTATTGTAAAAATTGAAAAGTTATTTTACCTTCTATGTTGACTCGCACAGCCAGGGGAACATTTTGTTCGCCTACAGCGCTAAGGAGAGCACTAAAGTGAATCAGCCAATCAATTCTGTAATTTACTACGATTTTCTGCAGCCCCTTAAAATCAAGAATATCGGCGAAAATAAAGGGTCCGTTTGATAAACTTTCTTCTGTCGGCTTGATTATGTCAGATAATATCACGTTCTCGTTCCCATAATTTTTACGAAGTAGCTTTGCACATTCCGTTCCAAGTTGCCCGAGACCACCTTACAAAAATATGTAAGTAAAAAGTGATAATAATATAAATATAGTATCAATGTTGATATTATTTTCATTAATAACTACAATATACAAGCGAATCACGTGTACTTTTAATTTCAAATAAGAAAACAGTGAACATTTATGTAAATCAATAATAAACTGATTGTCTATTCTTGAATTATAACTTGTTTTAGAACAGGTGTTTTTATCATTACAGGTTTATAAGAACATACTCACCTGTAATAAGGATCCTTGGTGATTTCATAATATGCGAACTATTAGTCCCAGTTTCTTTAATTTCTTGGAACGAACGGTGGTTTATAATATGATAATTTCTCAAACCATTTCGTGAAGACCATTGAGAAATTTTGAAGAAATGTTTACACCACATTTTTTAAATTCAGAAAGAAAACAATTTGATGAGAAATAAAATGATATTACTTGTATGGTGGAAAGAGTCATACGTTTTCGAAAGAGATCTTGAGAATATTGGAAAGAAATTTTATATAAAGGGTTAAGGAAATTTAAGAAGACCTTTCTCGTCTTGATGTCGATAAATAACTGCCGTAGGCTCGCATAATCATGCGATATTATAGCATAGTTAATTCTGAAAACCAGTTGTAACACAGATTTCTTCTGTGCCTTGTGTCTGTGCCTCAATAACTACAGGATCTCCAGCTTAATGATGTATCAAACTAAAGAAGCCGCTTGTATGTTCGCACGATCTTCTATTAATTTAATAAAATTTTATAGTATGGGTTATCGTATATTAACAGAAAAACATTTATTATCGTATATTTTTATACACATATTTCTAATATTTTAAAATAAATGTTATGTTTCAGTTAACATGTTCAGGAAGAGTTCGTGATTTTATATATACGCTAACATATAAAATATATTCAAATACTATCAAATGAAAGAATTCTAATTCGCTATCGATAAGTTGGAGTAAAACAGAAAATTATTTGGCATCGTTTCGAACTGAACCAACGTATGTTTCCTACTTCTTGAAAGAAGCGAATAGAGGAAGACGGAATTCATACCATCTGGACTGGAACACATTTAACTGCACGTTTCTAAGAAAATCATGAAAATTGTGATCCTTGTCGATAAAAATCAAAGAATCGTCGAGCTTTATTATATACCGAATTTGCTCGTAATGAATTAAAAGGAAAACGAGTACTATGGAGATACGAATTTCCTGGAAGCTTCATTTTCGTTGTGCTCACTTGACAAATTATAGAGTAGTTTCAAGTTCTTTCAAATTCCTTTAATAGCTGTGAGACCCGAAAAAGTTTAATAGAGGTAATCTTAAGTTTGAAATTTGTCACTGTCACCAATTTACTAGAATGTAAAGATTTGGTGGAAAGGGAAGAATTTCCTGGAAGCGTGCCTTCACGGTGGTTGGACACAGCACTTCGCAATTCTCTTTTCGTCCCGCTCGCCATCACCCACGCCACAGTCATCTTCTCCCCTCGACTTTGTGCATCAGCACGCTTTGCACAAAACTTCTTCGTGTAGTTAGTTCGTATCTGTTAGTAATGAGAGTAACGAGACTCTAACTTTCCGAAACTCCGTTCGAAGCGCGACGTGTTGGTTTTTGATTTGTGAGCAATTAGTGACAGCGAGACTTATTACTCGAGGACATATAGCATGTTTTAACGAAATCGTCAAAATTCAAAGAAGAAAACGTCTTATGCAGAAATAAGCTGAAAATATTGGCGAGCTAGAGAGAATCAAAAAGGTAGGAATGATTCGATGAACAGCAGAGTTGAATAGTTGAATTTTTTCAAATTATTAAAATATACGGAATACCATGATTTTCATTATGCAATCTTACCCTAATTTTGAACTATACGATCTGTTTCGAAGTTGCATAATCTCGTGTAGTCGAATTTGGTGGGGGCTTCGAGAAAATAAGAATTGAGGAAAGAAACGAAGAAAGAATACATTACTTTCACTGGTACTGTATACGATCTCTATAGTTCGATCGTAGTTATGGGTGATGGCGATTGCTATAGAAGAGTTGCTGCACCTGTATCAATTGTACACATTGTAATCCACAACTCGTATGGTGCACAACGAAGGATTATGTCAACTGTTTATAGAACCAATTCGAATCACGCGAAGACCTATTTATGGGACAATGCTTATAAGAGAGAACTGTTTACTGCCAAATCGGACCTAATAGCTTCATTTTATCGTCTTCCTAATAATTAAGCAATAATCCATTTTATAGGAATGCGAATACAGACATTCTTTATGTTCGACCGCTTTTTCAGGTCATTTGATTGTTCCCACTTACGGAAGGCCTATTATGAAACACACGTGGTCACCCGTGACACTATCCTCGAAGAATACCTTTGTTTTCGTTCGTTATCAGATAGAGTAAAAAGACTTTCCACTTTTCTCTTCCGTATCACCTCCCTTAAGTTACTTAAATTAGTGCTCGAGTACCTCGATATTTGATATTCGATGATATCATCAGGTGTCGGGGAGTATCGTTTAAGAGCATTGTTCAAAAAATACGTTCCACATTTTGAAACCGTGCGTTGCTAGTTGTAATTAATACGAGTGTTTTATCAGTTTGATCAAGAAGTATATAATATAGTTGTGTCGTGCAATTTCGGGCGACAGTAATTATTGCGGGAAAGATTGTCCTAGCGGTCTTTAGCTTTGCTTACGGTATGAAGCATTAATTTTGTTCTCTAGAACCGTGACGTGTAGACAACAAGTATACATACGTGAGTTCCTTGGTTTACGTATAAAAGATGCTGTGACATCTGAATTTAACACTCACGTTTATTTTCGTTAAGAATCTAATACACATTATGCCTTTATAAATCAGAGGAAAAAATGGATGTCTTGTTATTTACTAAACGTTAGGAACGACCAAATTTTTACAGAGAATGGGGAACTGAAATTTAAGGTGGTAAAACAAAATCCAAATGCGCTATGGTTAAACTACCGCGGGGTGGAGACCCCTTTATGACTGGCTGGTTACTGACATTGTTTCTCATCAGTGTCAGTGCTCAGTTAGGTTCAGAGTACGGATGCCCTACTCAGGAGAGGATCTTACCGTGCAGATGCTCTACTCGTGACATGGAGATTCAAATATGGCAAGTGTCATACATTAAATACAGAAAGAAAGCTCATGAAATGAAATTTATTTCTTATTTCTCAATAGGTGCAGTCATAGCGAGTTACCGAAAGTTCTCGAGGGTTTAAAAGCAGTGAGTCATTATCTAGATCGACCAGTAGACGAATTGATTCTGGAGAATAATAATCTACCGAGTTTACCAGGCAAGGTTTTTGCCACTCTACGCGTTCTCCGTTTAATGCTTCGAAATAATCGTCTCGAGAGAGTGTCATCAGGGTGGCTAGAAGGTCTTCACGATTCCCTGCTAGAGCTATTCGTCGTGGAACCGGATTTACGTTCCTTACCCGTAGATAGTCTGGAAAATCTGCAAGGTCTCGAGGCAGTGACTTTGCAAAGTAGAGTAATGAAGAAGCTGCCTAAATTCTCTGGATTACCAAAGCTCAGATATCTGCAGATTAACTCCCCGGCTTTAGTGGAATTGGCCCCGAGGAATTTTCGAGACCTGCCTAGTTTGGAGCAGTTCCACGTTTTTGGTAGTCCACGTTTGATACGCTTAGAAGCAGGCGTCTTTCGGGGCTTAACACGACTGGAGTTGATAAATATAACGGATTGTGGAATTCATTGGGTGCATCCTCGAGCATTGATAGATTTGCCAGAATTGAAAGAAATCTCACTGGTTGGAAATTCGATCGTGGATGCTGGCATGATTGGTCGTGCCTGCGTGGATCTACCTTCCCTTTCGGTGATACGTTTGGACAGAAACCGCGTAAATCGTCTCAGCGAAGGTGCTTTCACGGATCTATCCGTCCTGTCTCGTCTATACTTATCCAGGAATTACATTACCGAAGTGTTCGTTGGAGCATTTCAAAGAATGCCAGCCTTGAAGATTCTGGATCTTAATCATAATCTGATACATCGCATACATCCGGAATTCTTTCCACGCAGACCTGGAAATGTTTTGGAGGAAATGTGGCTGATCCATAATGATCTAAGCCACGTGACCGAGCTGAGGTCGATAATGGAGGCTTTGCCCAGATTAAAGTTTCTCGATGTTAGCCACAATCAAATCGAAGAAATACCCTTTGGAGCGTTGAGAGGGCATCTCACGTTGGAAAGACTTCACCTTGATCACAATAGAGTGGCCTTTCTGCAAAGAGAGACCTTCACCGCGATGCCCGCTCTTAGAGAACTCAGATTGAAAAACAATTCTTTGTCAAATTTGTTGGAAACGCCGTTCTGGAACCTACCGGCATTAAAAGTAAGTGATGGCTGATCGAACAGACCTGCAGTTTTCACTTAATCGTGATATATTAAATTTTCAGGGATTAGATCTTTCTGAAAATTACTTTCGTCACATAGAGCCTCGTTTGCTAGCAAATTTGCCAAGTTTGAGACGTTTAGATGTCAGTGGAAATGCAGTCGGTCTTATAGAGCCTGACTCGTTTCTCAGTACACCGGCTCTAGAATACATCAACATTTCTGGAAACGCACTTTCCGTTCTTCATCCACTGACGTTCCATCATCTAAATAATCTTTACGAATTAGACGTCGGTTGGAATCGGATGCTCGAAATAGTTCCGGGTTTACCAAGAAACATAGAACACCTTTATATGCCTATGAACCGTATTATCATTTTGCCAGCTGTATCCTCCCAAGATTTGGATCTTCCAGTCCTGAGATCCTTGGATCTTAGCGCGAATGGGATCGAGCGAATACCATCAGGCAGTCTGGCCGATTTGCCGAATTTGAAGAAATTAAGCCTTGGCTACAACTCTCTTCGACTTTTGGAGAACGGTGTCTTTGAAGGGTTATCGAGACTAGAGCAATTGGACTTAAAATACAATCGTTTAGTCACTCTACACGGCCGGAGTTTTAGACCATTGAGGTTACTGATGGATCTGAATCTGCGGGGGAACCGCTTGGAAGTTCTACGACCAGATATCTTTCAAGAAAATATTCGATTGCAGAGATTGGATCTAAGCAGGAACAACCTTGCTCAAATACCTCATGCAACTTTTTCGAACACCAGGTAATATTCATTGAAATTATTATAAATTTTTACGAAACTACATAAAAATATGCTGTGTTTTGCACGCTGACACGCAAGTAGAAAAGTAGTTTCACTCGTGGTTACATGGTTGCGTCACTAGCAAATTGGTACCTAGAAAGTTCTTTATGTCCATGTTGAATGTCCCCTTCTACTTTCGAGGTAGCACCATCTTGGCGTGTCAATCATTTTCTCCTAGTTCGTATTATTTTAGCGTACAGATAAATGTCAATTGATAAATGCAAACGAAAGAATCGGAGTTCAATTTTGGGGGAAATTTAAACCGATTATTTAACTCGACGCGTGGTAACGAAATTAACGTTTTCACTGAAATTGCAAAATTTTTAACCAGCGAAAACTCATCATATGTCTAGCCAGATACGTTTAGGTAGACTGACTTAGCAAAGTCGAAACGACTGTTTCTGTTAATGATTCCATATCAAAGGGAGGAAACAACATTAATTACAGAGACCTTCGTGAACTATACGCGTCGCACAATACTTTGACCGAGTTACCCGGATCGTTACACGGCTTAACAGCTCTTCAGGTACTCGACTTGAGCTTCAACAAGCTGAACATCCTGTCGCCGGAAACATTGAGCAGCCTATCGGCCTTGCTTGAGCTTAAACTTGTCAGGAATCGTATCCGCGAATTGCGCGAAGGTGCTTTCAATGGTTTGCCACAATTAACGTTGATCGATTTGGAAAGTAACGACCTGAGAATCATCGAAAGAAACGCTATTAGAGCTCTGCCAGAGTTACAAGCAATAAGGCTTGGGAAAAACCGATTGCAGGTAATACAAAGTATCTTTCTCCTTTCGTACTAATCGAGAATTTGTTGTTGTCATTATTATTATTATTATTATTATTATTATTGTTGTTGTTATTGTTATTAAGAATTGTTATTATCATTATTCGGTAATATACATACAGATGATACCAAGCGGAGCTTTCACCGAATTGCCATTACTGCAAAGTGCGGAACTTCAAGAAAATCGGATCCAGGAAATTGCAAGTAACGCATTCATTAACGTGCCTCACCTTCTCTTCCTTAATCTAAGCCACAATCATTTACCTTCGTTGGATTACGTTGGTTTAGAGAGCTTGCGTTCCCTAGAAGTTTTAGATTTGAGCAATAATCGATTGTCTAGGGTATTAAGCAACAGTTTAGCATCGATGGAGTGGTTAGTCGAATTAAAAGTAAGTGAAACGAAGATGAACTGAAAAGAAAATTTCCTTTCGAATTATTCGTGCATAAACCTGCTAATTGAAAGAATCGGCAATTTAAATGCAATAGCTTTCTCTTTCGGATAAAATATTCGAAAACGAATGAAATAATTCGGATAAAAGTCGATTTTCGTAATGACTGAATGAAACGTAAAAGGAGAATGAAAAAATAACGATAGTGGGGATAGATCTTTAGTAATAACGGAGAATACTTTCTCGTCGAGAGTGAAACTTCGTCACGAACCGTGGTGCGAGGCCACTCGTTATGCTAGCAGAGCAATTATTCGTGTAGCTGCATCGTTAATTACGAAGATAGCGGATCTCCTTATACATTTTGTCCACTGTGATTGTAGATGGACAATAATCGGATTTGTACTATACAAGGTTCGCCTTTTGATGAAATGCCGAGACTTCGAGTCCTCAGTTTAAGGAGTAACCGAATGGCTTCCGTTTCGGAAACAGCATTTAAAAGATTGCGATCGAATATCGCGGTGTTAGACATCGATGGTAATAAAAATTCCTTCTTCCGTTATCTGATATTTTGTACCAATTTTTCGTAAAGACAATTTCATTCGTAACAAAGGTAACCCACTTTCGTGTTCATGCGGAATGCTATGGTTAAGAGGATGGTTACAACAAGCTTCCTCCGAAGGACCAAGATGCGCGGATGGATCTTTATTCAAGGAAATTCGATTATCGCGACAGGATTGTCAACGAGAAAGACAAATTGATCCAATCCACCCTGGCTGTGAAGCGGAAATGATCGACACTGCACCATATCCTGTCTCTTCCTCTAGTAAGTAATATTCGCGAATGCAAGTTATCGCTTCTGTTTATCAACCAGATATTTAATAAATACTCTATTAGTATTTGGAGCAACGGAGATGGTACCACTGCTCATGAATTTAAAGGAGTCGTCCACACGAAATCCTCTTCACGTTCAGGAGTCCGATTACTTTTACGAATATTCGGATTACCAAGATAATAAAAGTAACACGTCAAACGTAACTTTCACGTCGACTCAGTTTGCGACTACGGTAGCCTCTGATACTGTGAAAACTACTCAAACGACGGAGAAGATTGAATCTTCGACAAATAACACTATTCCCGTGAAAAAAATTACCTCGATGCCCCCTTCTCCTAGTAGTTCTGGCTTTACCTTCTTCGGGGTACCGTTGCCGAGTCTAAACTTCAATTTATGGGGAAATTCGAGGAGAAAATTCGAAAGAAAAAATTCATCAGGAAGACCAGGAAGAGGCCGTTATAGAACATTCCCACCTACAGAACCGGAAATTCATAAAGGTGGTTTCATACCGTTACCCCGTGCACAAGGTGGTTTTGTGCCTATTCTTGATCCCGGATTAATGTATGAGAAACATAGAGCGGAAACGGCACAGTCGTGAAGATCGAGCGAACTTCTCCAAAAGCAAATAAGTCTAAAGTGGCATACAGAGAAAGAGAAGAATTATCCACGGTGTCGATTAACGAACCAGATTTCCGTTGGCAAATGACTGGCACGAAAAAAAGCAGGTAAATGAATATTTCAATGAATACAGAATTGTAGTACCTCAGTGTTCTATTCCTTTCTAGTTCTATCACGAATTTAACGAAGACACCCGACTCCAGTACCGCAGCAGGCGAGTCATTTCAAGAAACAACTGAAACTGCATTTACTGAAGTTTATGATGGGAAAAATTTGAAGATGATTAAGGAAGCAAGTAAGAATGAAGATAAACCACAAACGGAAATGACGAGTAGGATCATTTGGACTACGCCGAAAACTGCCTTAGAAACGACAAAAGAAGGTTTATTTAAAGAAACATCGACAGAAGTAATAAAAGGAGAAAAACATACTTACTGGGATAGCGAAGCAAACGAATTTCAGGAAACGTCTACTTCTCGAACCGCGACAAATGTTCAAAACGAGTCAATTGGTAAAATCGTAATTTTTGTTGTAATTTTCTACATAACGTCAAATAAATAATTGTTTAATATTAATCATAGGTGATCCAAACGCTGTCGTAACAGAACAATCGACGTTCCATTCAACCATTTTAGAAAATCGGAACAATTTTTCTTCCACTTCTCAAGTTTCTCGAAAAACAGAAGCATCAGCTCTTTCAGCGTTTTTGGTTCCAGGAGGTCAAGTATCTCCATTACTCCCAAATTTGCGTCCATTAGGCAGACCAACAATAACGAAGGTTCCATCACCACGTATTGGTCTTTTTGCTGAATCAGAAAAACAAAAATCGGTGGCAGAAGCTGTTCAACGAAATTTAGAGAATGAAGGGGAAAAATTGTTTGGCGTAGATGGATCTTCCAATGAAAATGCTGAAGTTTTCGAAGACAATTCCTTTAATTGGTATTTTCAACATTATAACGATACCAATTTAGAACCTTTTGTTAGTGTAGCGTATAACGGAGGTGAAAAGACAAATATGGCTCCATGGACTTTATTGGGACAATTATATCTCATTTTGTACATTTTCGTATAAAAACATAAGAGATTAAATATTTTCAGCAATTAATTTATTAAATAATTAATATTTGACGTGTTCTTAATTAAGTGCATCAATCCACTTGTATGATCAAAATGAAATGAATAGAATCCAAGTGCTGAGAAACTATATTAAGGTATGTATTAATAACAAAAAATAGATTATATACTTGAAATTATATATCATACAGATACATGCAGTGTAAAAATGTGTTGTAAGCTTTATAATTTTGTGCATTATGATTGTAGTCAGATATGAGATTTTTTAACCAAAAAGAAAAAAAAAAATGCACGATTAACGTACTATATTCGGTATTGTATATTGTGATGGCTTTCATAGAGTTGCTGTGTATTAACAAAAAATAAATAGAACTATAAATGATTATTCGAATGATTGATTTTTTTTATTAATAATGCAATGTAATGGTTAAAAAGCACAAGTTTCCTGAAACAGATGTTCATAATATTTAACGATTGTATGTTATAAAAATCTTATTTACTATTTTCAGACAGTATAGAAAATTTCAGTACATTCAAGTGATTCGTGAACGACAAGTGAATAATATTGGTTTATGAAAATATTATGAAATTATTTACCGATATCGATACATTATATAAAAGTTATAGCTAGTTTGAAGCAGTTGCTCATTCCTAATAAGAAACAAATAAAATTGTGCTTTATACATACTGCTAATTGTAAAATTTTTAATAATTGCACAATAATATATTTAGTATAACTCGCTTTAATTATAAATCGTGGAAATGTGTAACTGCATTCCTACTATTATATCCTTTATCCAATGTATATATCATACTATAGTAGAACACTTTAAGAACAAAGTCATTTGTTTTATTTTAATATTAATTTGAAATACCAATCTTAAACACAAAATACACTTGTACATGTATAAACCAACTCTGCAGCTTTTGTGATGTTCTGGGATGTTAACACTCTCAATGACAAAATTAGTCTTAGTTTCACTTTATTCACTGACTTTTATTTTTTGCTTTATCCTTTTCATCCTTTTTTTCTTCTTCTTTCTTCTCATCTTTTTTTGTTTCTTTCTTATCTGTTTCCTTCTTTTCAGCATCACGATTTGTTAATTTGTTATTAATTAAATTGTGTAAAGCCACTATGGATCTAACAAGAGCAGCAAGGTACACAACTAACATTTGATCATTTGTTTTCACATACAGTGAATCAACGAAGCTACTTTGTGTCATATCAGGTAGTAGATTAAAAATATCTTGCAGTTGGTAAACAATTTGATGGTTAATGGGTAATTTATCATTACCAACTTGTAACAAATAATCCCTAATTTCTCTAATTTGTTCATAAAGACCTTTTAAACCTAATAATTGATTTGTAATTCTCTGACTAAGAGTTCCAACTGTAGTATCCTTGATATCTCTTAATAAATGTTCTACACCTACTTCTTCTGCTTCTTCTGCACCAATTTCACTAGGAATGTGTTCAAAAGTCTTAGATGTTGGAGAACCATCCTGAGAACAATTTATTATTATGGTTATCATTGTTGTGATATTAATTTAAATTTGCACATCAAATATTTTTTGAAATTTACATCGTGAACTTCTTCAACTGCTTGATATGCTTCTGTTGGAAGTCCAAGATCTTTGGGTTTAGCATCAATGATAACCAAAACAGAATTAGGACAATATCTCCTAATCAATTCATTAATTGCAACGTCATTTTGATGTAGTTTGGGACCAGTATGATACCATCCTACTACTTTTTCACGGGCTAAAGAATAAGTTGATGAAATATTAAAAATAAGTACATCACTTCCCTCGAACTTGCGTGCATATAAGTATATACGTACCATTCACCTTTTTAAACATTCCATACATGTTTTCAAGGTAATCATGATCAAGGAACCATACACTTTTGTCCTTATCATCTTCATCAAAAGGAACTATAAATAGAAGTAATAACACATGATTTTTTAATTTAAGAAATTGAACTAGGAAAGTTGTAGTCTATGCATATTATTTCAGGTTAATAAAATTTTGAATCCTTATGAGAAAAATAATTTATTTATTTTCACAGCAGTTAGAAAAATAATAAATTAGTGAACAACAAAAAATGTTAACAAACTTTGTATTCAGAAAGAAACGATGAATGTTCGAGGTATCAACCTAACCTGCAAAACTGTTTGACACGTCTAGAACGCCTTTTGCTCTCCAACATCCCAAAAGAACACCAACAACTCTTTTTTGATTACCAATTTTTCCCATACGATTAAAATGGTCCACCACACTTAATAAAACTAAAGGATGTACCACTACTTTTGTAGTTACAACCTCTTGACTCGGCATTTTTGAGCAATTCCTTTGACTTTCCTCAATGAACGTAGTCACACCAGAATCAATATCCAAGTCATTAACTTGTTGTTCACAAAAGACCCTTCTATATTAAAGCAGGTAATATAAACACCACTTCCAAGATAATATACAAAATATATCCTTATATAAAATTAAATTATAAAAATTTCTAAGAAATATAAATTTATAGATATCCAATTTAAAAAAATTCATAAAAATTCGTAGGTTAGAAGTTTTCTAAATATAATTTTTATATAATTTATATCTAATTTGTATCTTTTAACGACAAAGAAAAACAGTAAAAAGAAAGCTTTCACAAGGTTTATTATTTTTAAACGATTGCAAAAATGTTTTTACATTTAGTCTAACTTGCAAGTAGAATAAGAAATTACTGTTAGCAACACTGTTGAGAAAAACACTTTTTACGTGTATTTTGATTCGATTTTTAGATATTAAGAGATATCTAGTTCTCATTTAAATATGTAATAATTTTTGAGTATGTAGTAATAACAATTAAAATAAAATGTCCATCTATATATACTTTACTTAAAAGTTTAATTCAATGTATTTGATAAAAAGAACATTTGAGAAATAATGCATTTGCTGTATATGTACATTCTGCTTGCAGGTTCACCAATCAAAGAAAACAAAACGAGCGCTAAATTTAAAATTAAAAACTTTTTTACAGAATGTCTAAACCAATAGTATTCGTAACTGGAAATGCAAAAAAACTGGAAGAATTTGTGGCCATTCTCGGAAAGAATTTTCCACGAGAAATTAAAAGTAAGAAAATCGATCTTCCAGAATATCAAGGAGAAATGTACGACATTTGCCGAAATAAATGTCGAGTGGCAGCGGATTTAATAAAAGGCCCTGTTATCGTTGAAGATACATCTCTGTGTTTCAATGCAATGAAGGGTTTACCTGGACCTTATATCAAATGGTTCTTGAATAAATTAGGCCCAGAAGGACTATATAATATGCTTCATGGTTGGGAAGACAAAACTGCGGAAGCGATTTGTATTTTTGCCTACTGTGACGGAGAACCTGAAGATCCGATTATATTGTTCGAAGGTAAAGTTGAAGGAACCATTGTGAACCCTCGAGGACCACGAACTTTTGGTTGGGATCCATGTTTCCAACCTTTGGGCAGTGATAAAACTTATGCAGAATTACCGCAAGAAACGAAGAATAATATGTCTCACCGTAGCAAAGCATTGAAAGCACTGAAGGAATATTTTATGAAAAATCTTCGAGATTAAATCAATAAATTGTCCTTTCCAAAATGACAGTATTAATTTAATTTGATAATTGCAGCAAATATTAAAATCATTTATAAATTATTACGAGTCAGAAATATATGGATTGCCTGTTTGTGGTACATTGTTTACTACTTCCTATTTGAACACACTTTTTTTTGTAAATGATTGTATATCATCGAAATAATTACTCGGCATTTTGACCCAATGTTAATACGTAGTATCCATGTTTTATCAAAGGTGATTTTGCGTTTAAAATACATTTCGACAGAGGTAGCGATAGCCAATGCACATCGTTATGAGTTGAGTTACTACATAATGAATTCCTTATACTAAACGGTAAGGAGAGACTTTAAAAATTGATTCTGATAATCAATATCCCATAAATTGTAAATATTGACGATATATTTATCAAAACGTTTACAAAATGATGCAATAATTCTTAATATTTTACCATTTTGTTTAATTAGTCCAAATTTAGGTTTCTAATTTTTCCAATTTTCTGCATATACAGCGTATATACAAAGAAGAGAATGTATTTACCTTATGCTGATATTAATTATCACTTAGCTGGAATATCGTAATCATTGCAAATATACGTTTATGTTATTGTTAACTGTCATGTACGGCGGTAAACACGTAATCGAATTTTATTTGTTGCTTTTCTCAATATTGTTGATAATGCCAATTAAACTCGTTAATCGAAAATATTTGTAATACTGTAACTTATAAGTATAAAAGCAATCTCAAGGAAAGTTTCTAATCATCGTAATAAAATTAATAGTAAAGTTCATTCATTATTGATTATAGTATAAGACTATAAATGATTAGTCAATGATTAATCAATGCCATTTTACATATACACAAAAACTTTATGCGGAATATCGTATTGATGATAATAATTGCAAAGAAATTTGCATACAGGGTGGTCTAAATAAATAAATAAGCATATTGCAAGATTTTTTTAAAACCATTGCGAATATCAGTACATATTTTCCTTTATATTAAATAAAGTAGAATTAATTATTTAGTGATATAAAAATTGTCCAGGGCAATACTTTGTCTCTTTTTTTTATGGAATAACATATTAATTTTATTAAATTTTTAAACTGATATCTTTATAACACCCAACTTATTAGATTCTCGTGTACGAATTAATTTTAATATTAAACGAAGTATTAAACGATGGTTATTTTCCAACAAAGCAAGATAATACTATCAAATGCTCAAAAACTTAAGAAATGTTTAGAAGTCTAACGATATCGTATTGAATATTTAATGGAATAATTGTCATCTGAGAATAAGCTTATTTACTAGTTATTTTCCGATACAGGTTTTCTCGAAGAAAATATTTATTGTCGTAATTGTTTTAGCATACAGATTAAAAAGAATGTTCCGAGTAAATTTTTTTATTCTCGATAAGAGCTATCCGAGTAAAAAATGAAAAAGAGGAAAATTAATATACCATTTCAGTATATATATAAAATAAATAAATAGAAGCGGGAACTTTGTCCTCGTAGCAGCTGTTTTAAAAAATAAGTATAATAGACTAAATAATTGTGTCTCTGTCTCACTTAATTAAGAAAGGTTTATGTCGATGCAGCATTGGTTTTGCAGATTGTAATACTTTATTTAGTCTACTCTATACATACACAACTTTGTATATAAATAGAATAAATACGTTTAATCCGACATGATGTTCCACTTACGAGAAATAAGAAGGATCAGGAGAAAATAAAGATCGAAGATTTCAACGTGCGTGATTAATGCAATAACTATGAACCAGATTAAAGTAAATTTAGGCGATATTTTTAAAAATTATTCACGTAGCAAAAGTAACTTGTGACGATGCCCGATCGGGTTATCTTGTGCATTGATTACACCGGCACGACTCGTTCATAACACCCTTTCGGGAGGGGTTATCATTATATTTGCATTTTCTTATTCTACCGGGATTTGCAGATTTTTCGCATTATAAAAGGAGAAAGCTGTGCAGCAGTGTTACCAGTCTTCTTGCAAGGATTATACTACAATGAATGCCCTAATCGGTAAGTAACGTGACAAGAAGAAAATAGGTTTCTCGTACTTTGTCTTAACGTATTTTTCAGTGATATTAAAAATTTGAAATATCACGCGAATTTTTTATTTTGCAGTACTATTGGGGATCCTAACTGCGGCGTTTGCCGTCCCAGGTACGTTAACTGCGAATAAATTAGTCTGATCGACCGAATTCTTTCGACAGGAAAGTCTCGGTCTTGAAGTTATAGATTGCACAACAATTTTTAAACGTAGTTGCAAATCTAACTTTATTAAATATTATTGCAGCACATTTCCCCCGTGGAAAAGTTGTGACTTACAAATATACCGCTGATGTAAAGGCTGGACTTATCGAACCGGCTCCGTTCGCGTCCAACTTCGAAATTGAATGTCTTCTTCGAATAGAGGACGTCTCCAGTCCAATCTGGAAGAATGCCTACCGTGTTAAATTGACTAATGTGCAATATGGACTGTACAATGGGCGTAGAAACCATTACGAGACTTACCCTGTTAAGAAACCAATCGTTGAGGCCGCTAGCGCGATTATGAATCCCTTCCATATTATTTTTGACGAGAACGAGCACGTAAGTTCCGAGAAAAGAAAATACAGTATGAATTTTGAATATCTACAGGCGAAGAATGTGTAATTTATCAGTATTATTTTAGCTTCAAGGTGTGAAATTCGTTTCAAATGAGCCTGTATGGTCGAAAAATATGAAAAGGGGCATCGTATCCATGCTTCAACTGGACTTAGTTAATATTAACATTCAAACTCCCATAAAACCACATAGTTTCATAACTCACGAGGTAGGTAACGACTGATGGGAACATCCTAGGGTTATGGCTAATGTTCTCTTTGGTTGTTACCACTAGGATACCATTCATGGCAACTGCGAAGTGGCTTATAACGTACACCCAGTAGATCATACGCATCCAGGAGCTAGCCACGAGTTTGTAGTCACAAAGATTCACGAAGCAAAGAAATGTACTGATTTTGCTCATCACGAGTTTAACTTCGTCGAGCTCGAGAAGTGTAGCGTACAAGAAGAGGTATTAAGAACAATCGATCTTATGTTACCTTTTGTACACTGACAGGTAATAATTCTAATTTCATAATTTTCGTTGTTCTATTTCCATATAGGATGGAATGACCACCGCTAGCAGACGTGTGTTTGTAATAGAAAACCAAGGTAGTGATATCCTTATAAAAAACGTGGTTGGTCATTCAGTGATCAACTACTTCCCATGGATGGCCTCGTCGGAAGCTCATTATCTTTTAACCAAGTAACTTGAGAACGATCAATTTTTATTGCAGTTTCAAATATAACCAATTTTACGAAGTTTTATTTAAGAACGATATCTGTTTGTACAGTCAAACTATGGTACTCGAAGATGTTAGCCTCGTGTTTGGACCTTATTCTGCGTTGCCTGTTGAGCGTCGTCTACGATAAACCCAAGACTCTATACAATCCTCAGGCTGACGTAGACGTAACCCATGGCCGACATGTTGTTAAGAACGATGAACTTGTTGTCAAATTGAGAAAGATGTTAGATGAGGCTGCTGGGTATTTGAAAGAAGACCATGTCGACAAGAAGCAACCAGAATGGAAACACGATCAAACGATAAATAGAATTTTACACGTTATGAGATATATGACTTATGAATCTCTGCAGCAAGTATTCAGCGAAATTCAGAATAGTAAAGATGTCAAAGATGTAACCATGAGGTATGTTAGCTAAAACTTATCGATTACCACAAGGTAATACATTCGTGCATTTCGAGATCATTTTCCTTAACGCTTTTTTCTAGAAATATTTTCCTCGGAGTACTGCCTAACGTAGGAACCTTAGCTACATGCATTTTCACGCGAAATGTAGTTCGCACAAAGAGTGTTTCGAATGGGACTGCCGTCATGATGCTTGGCAATCTTCCGATACACGTGAAAGTTCCTTCGAAGCAACTACTTTTAGAGATGGAAGAACTCCTTAGCTTAGGCAATTCCGTTTCCGCGGACGTTAGGGAAGCCGCCATATTCTGCTTCGCTACATTGATTCATAAAACCGTTATGAATGAACCGGCCGAAGTTATCGAACCTCACCTGAATAAATACCTGGAGCATTTCATGAATCATATCAGAAGTATGGAATTTCGGTAATATTTCATTTTAACTTTTCACGGATGCGTTCATTAATAATTGTTGCAGATGAACCAACGTATCACATGAAGATAGTATACATGATGGCTATGAAAAATGTACGTCTAAACCATATTGTCAAACTTCTGGAGCCTATTATTCGCGGTGAAGAAGTTATTTCTGAAAAACCGCACAATATTCGCGTACATGCTATTTGGTGCATCAAAAACGTAGTAGTCGAACAACATCATTATGTTCACGACTTACTTTGGCCTGTTCTTACTGATGTTAGCCTACCAACGGTGGTTAGAATTGCGGCATTTGACGTATTGATGAATCAGTTGCCTCATCTAGGGCGCCTTATGAATATCTACTGGATGATGGTATACGAGAAGAACGAAGATCTCTACAATTACTATGTAGATACCATAAAAGGATTTGCTAACTCGGTAGAACCTTGCTTGGCGATAATTCGGGAAATGGCTAAGAAAATATTAAGGTTCATCCGAATAAGGGACGTTCCTGGTCCACTTTCAAAGAAATTACACGTGGATTATTTCGATAGGAAGTACGGATACAGTGAAACTGTACAGGGATCTTTAATTGTAGAACAATCAACTGGTTTACCGTACGTTGGCTCATTCGAGTATAGCAAATCTGTTGCTTATAAATCTTCTAATCGTCTAGGAGTGAGTGTTATAATAATTCAATAATTTAGGAATATTACTTAAGTCCTTTGAATATCGTTTAAATGTGTTTCTATATTTTAGATCCATTGGAATGTATATGGAATGGATGAGATCTCGAAGAAGGTTAAACAGGAAGTGTTCGGCACAGTTGTAAAAGTAATTAAAAATGATAACGTGAAAAATGTATTAGCTCGAGCAGCTAAAGATATGCCTAAAGTTCAGGATGTTAATATTAATGTAATTTTCACGGTGAATAACAACGTCTTTTCGACATTCCATTGTACCAAGGATAACTTTGTGGAAATTCTTAACGCATTGAATCAATGGAAGAAATTAATCACTCAGTATATGGAAAATGTTAACTGGCAAACTGTCATGTATGAAAATCATTACGAAATGCATGTACCCACTGATCTTGGTGTACCAACTATCTTGGCTTCGAGAATGCCTCTTATGGTCTCCCTTAAAGGGAGCGTTTTCTTTTCCGAAGATGAAAATCTTTTAAATTTCCATCCAAAGATCAAATTTCAGAGTTTCTATCGCGCTGAACATGTAATGTCCATTTACAATCCGATCGTTGATGTTTGGCACTCTATCCGTAGAACATTTTCCATGGACGTTAGTACCCCTTGTGAAGTGAATATTGGTTATAATCAGAACACGAAGAGTGTCAAAGTTACATTATCAAGATTGCCTCTTTCGGACTATTCGGTCTTCAAAGTATCGATGTACGGTAAAAATTATGTCACCCTCACAGGTGATGAGAATGATTTATTGAAGGAGTTCTGTTCCACTTGTCATCATTATGAAGTTGTTACCAATTCCATTAACTTAAAAACATACGAAAATAGCTTCGATTCGAAAGACCTTGGAACTCGATTTTCGATACAATATCATTGCGATAAAGATTCTACTCCTACTTCGACTGTCGGCGAATGGTTGAAGACATTCGTAGATGAATACAAGAACAGTATGTGAGTATAAAGTTAATTTTCAAAACGATCCATTAAGAAACAATACCGAGTGAAGGAAAGGAATTGGACTGAAATTAATTTTCGTTATATAGGGGCTCTTCTATAGTGCACAGTGTTATGACAGTCCGTCATAAAATAATGAACGACCTAATTGCAGGCCAGGAGAAGAATTGTTGGATTATGGTTAAAACTGAACCAAGTATCATTCATCCTACTTCGACGGTAAATTAAATAAGATGTTCCTCGTGTCATATCTGTATAATCTTTTAATTCTGTTCTTTCCGTGTGTTATTAGATCGACTTATCTGGAAAAGTTAGCATTCAGGACTTGGACGTCACTCATCATGAAAAGATGCACTTTCTCAGCAGCAAGAGGATCGATATTCGTGGAAATGTGAACGTTAAAGCAGCCTCCAGTAGTGAATCTGTTAGACAGTGGGATATGAATGTTAATGTTATGCTGTCTCCAGGACACGTTAACAATAGCATGAAAGTTATGATTACTCGAACTTCACCAGAAGAGAAACATCAAAAGGTTTGTAAGATTAAAGGGGGACTCAGGTGCAGACAGAGCAAAAAATTGATTTTTTTTCTACCACTTTAATCAATAGCATAATATTCTCAGGACATATTTCCAAATTTTCAATTTAATCCTTAAAATATCAAAGGATCCACAGATTCTCGAAACCACTTTTTTCAAATTGGAGGGAAAGATATCCCAAAAATTAGGTTACCAATTCATTTGAAATGTTGCAAACATATACTGTGATATATACACTAGTCGATGAAGATAAAAATTAAACAAAATAAATAATTTAAACAACTTTTTTATACATAAATAAACTTTCGCGAAAACATCGTATTTTTTCGTCGAAGTGGTCACATGTTAACAACTTTCAATTTTTCAAATTTTTAATGGTTCATCGACTAACTGTGTTCACAAAGAGAAAGAAAATTATTCGTATTCCCGTTCTGGTCAAATAGGAAAGAAAATACAGTTTCAGCCAATTTCAGATCTCGTTATGGAGCTACACATATGCTCTTATATCTCCAAATTGCAACGTGTTTTAAAATCTAAAAAAGATCCTTTCGTACTCTTATAGTTATTTAATGAAACGTCGTAGTTTTCAGAACAATCAAGTAAATACTTCCGTCGAAAAAAATTCCCGAAAATGCGCGCATTTTCAGCATTTTGCACCAGGACCCCCCTTAATACCTCTGAGTGATTTCCATCGAAGAGCATACCTAATGAAGAACATTGAACTTCTTCCTTTAGATATGCATTGAGGCACAAAAGGAATATCCGACGGTCACTACAGATTTGATGAATGCCAATGTTGGAAAGAAGGAAATTAATTCAAAAATGACGATTACCATGGGTCAAACGGAAAAAGACAAGTGTGTACGCGATGAAATGGACGTTACAGTAACCATAAAAGGCGAGGTGTCAGAAGAACAAGAGAAACATATCGCCTATAACAGTGTGAGTGGTACGTGCGTTAAACAAACTCAGAATCCCATGTTCTATGTAAAGGATTCGCATGTTCCTAAGACCTGGGAGTGCATGCAAGAAGCTATACTTCATTCCACTATGATGAAGTACACCGTAAATATGGCACTAAGGAAGGTAAGTGTGTTGTAATTTGTCACTATTGTACCTTATTATTGCTTTAATAATGTAAATGATTTTTATTTGCTTTACAGGTACCACTGCAACTGGTATCGACCGTAAATATAATTCAAGATATATTGCGTGTTATTGCTTACCCGAACATAAAATACTCTTGGACTCACGTAGAACCGAAAAACGCAAAGATTATATGTGAATTCCCATATTTGACACACGATCTTAATATAGACGTTATCACGCCAACGCATAGTTATCAATTAGTTGGATTACCACTTGGTAACCCACTTTGGAATATATGGATGGATAATACCCATTACTCTTTGCAGAATTTGTATAAATATGTTAACGAACATACCAGTAAGTTTTTCGTTCAAAACAATAAGCTTTAATATTATGTTGAATTACTAAAGATATTTCCACGTTCTTTACAGAGAGCTGTACAGTCTACCTTCGAGTTCTGCAGACTTTCGATAATGGTACCATTCCGTTCATTGTACCAGATAAGTGGACCTTGCTTTCTGGTGATCACGTGTACCAAGAATTTAGTGTCTTTGCGAAATTAGTACAAAACAACGCATTAGCTCTGAAAGTTTATGTAGGTGGACATGAACTAGAAGTCATGCCTGTCAGTACAGGAGTGGTGGTCTCTGTGGATAATAAAGTTGTAGATAATTATGGTAAGGGTGTTATGATACCTGAAAATGAACCGGACTCCTATGCTATCAAGTAAGTAAATATGTTTAACGTTAATTTTTCGAGAAATTTTAATTTATTCAATTTTTATTTTATACAGTAATTTCTGCAGGTAATTATAATCTTACCATAAAATTATGATATGCTTTCTTTCCGCAGATTGACCGAAAATTACGAGCATATAGTGGTTCAATCCCAGTTGGTACCAATTGAAATTTATTACTTACCACAAAGTGTGACAATTGATCTGGGCACTGTACTTCAAGGTCATGTGACTGGAATATGTGGTCACATGGATGGCATACATAAAGTCGAAATACCAAAAATATATAGTGTATCGCATCTCTAAAGAAATCAAAGAAAATCATTTAATCATTCTTTTCATCTTATGAAGCGTATTCAGCCGAAGTTGTCTGCAGCAGGAGGTGACCATTATCAAACAAGAGATCTTTCTTTCTTAGGATAACGTAAAATGATGATGTAGATGTAGATACAAGAAATAAAAGAATAAAGTTTTATTTTGGGTAATTTGCAATTACATATTTTTTACTTTTACAATATTTAGAGTTAGTACATTATTATCTCATCTTATATTATAAAACAATTAAGAAAGGATTGTGTTCAATATTGCTTTGGAAATTATTCTATAAATATTGAAAATAAAAATGTAATTTGTTAATATAAATCCTTATATAAATTTTCGCAAAAATTCTGTAATTTGAAATGCATAGTCACGTGGCCTCCGTGGCGCAATCGGCTAGCGCGTTCGGCTGTTAACTGAAAGGTTGGTGGTTCGAGCCCACCCGGGGGCGATTTATTTTTTCGTGATTTTATATACATTTTATATTCAAAACAATGCAACTTAAATAATTTACTGCGAGCATTTAATATTAAAAATAGTATACGCACATACGTAATTATATAAGCAACATACTGCATAAGAATATATAATACAGTAATATATTTAACATTTTATAAAATTTTGTGTCAGGTGACTTGGAATTTGTACTGACGTTTAAATATTTATCGAAAATAAGAATATCAACAATAATTCCTGCTATTGGATTAAGAGACGAATTCATCATATAATACATTTGAAGAACGAATTAATCAGTAACAAAAATCTACGTGTACTATTTTATTATACCGTAATAAGAACAATTAATATAGCATGTTAGTGAATGTTGTGGCTATTTTATATTTCGCTATTCTTAATGTACTTTAAATTTACCTCCAAAAACCTATTAGTAAGTGGCGCTGCTATCGATTAGACTGTTAAATTGTGGATCGACTCCATCTTTCTTTTGCCGACTCCCTTATTCTACACGAGACGAAAGGTAAATTCTTATTAAAGAAATAGCATTTATTACGTAAGAATTATTCATGACAATATGAAAAGTGTCAATTGTTTTCCATTGTTGTCTATTGCTGTTTATTGTTAATTATGTATATTGTTAGTTTTATGTAGAATCGATTGAGGTCCCACGCCGTCGGTATTTTATAACATAGGCATTTTTTATTGGTTTTCTGTTTTTACGTTTATTGAATATTTATGTTTGTTTCCTATGACTAAGCTTTGCGATTTTTCGGAAGTAATTGCATCCAATTATGTTGTTGCTGTTAATTTATATAATTCCGTTAATTTATAGGTTAAAGTTGTTTGACCACATTATAGCGAACTCGATTTAGTGTTGCGTCAGAACATCTTTGTCTGTTTGTTGCAAATGAGTTTTTATTTTCATTTCAGGAATTTTGTTTAAAAATGGCAATGATATGGAATCGATTAGGGCAGCTTGGTTTAGGTTTGACTATGACTGGAATTGTTGTTAACAATGCATTGTATAATGGTTAGTTTTTTAATTTTATAATACGTAAAAATTATTACAAAGCAAAAAATTTAGTTTCATTTACAATCGTTGTGTATTGTATGTTTCAGTTGATGGAGGTCATAGGGCTGTTATCTTTGACAGATTTACAGGAATAAAAAATCAAGTTGTAGGGGAAGGAACACATTTCGTTATTCCTTGGGTACAAAAACCTATTATATTTGATATTCGATCTAGGCCAAGGAATATTCCTGTAGTCACTGGAAGTAAAGATCTACAAAATGTAAACATCACACTTCGTATTCTCTTCAGACCTATCCCAGATTCTTTGCCAAAGATCTATACTATTCTTGGTGTAGATTATGCTGAAAGAGTATTGCCATCAATTACAAATGAGGTATTAAAAGCTGTAGTTGCCCAATTTGATGCAGGAGAATTAATCACGCAGAGAGAGATTGTTTCTCAAAAGGTTAGGGAAGATTTGACAGATAGGGCTACGCAGTTTGGATTAATTTTAGATGATATTTCTCTTGTAAGTATGTTACAATTATTTTGATTTCATAGCATGTGTATAATATCTTGATTAATCTTACAAGCTACTTTGCTTCAGACACACTTAACCTTTGGAAAAGAATTTACTCAAGCTGTGGAGATGAAGCAAGTAGCACAGCAAGAAGCAGAAAAGGCCCGTTTCTTAGTAGAAAAAGCAGAACAGCATAAGAAAGCTGCTATTATCAGTGCAGAAGGCGATGCACAAGCTGCAAGCTTGATTGCAAACTCTCTTGGTGAAGCAGGCGATGGTTTGGTTGAACTTAGAAGAATCGAAGCTGCAGAAGATATAGCCCATAACCTATCTAGATCTCGTCAAGTAGCTTATTTACCACCAGGTCAAAATGTTTTATTAAACTTACCGCAGTAAAACTATAAACTCGAATAAAAATTATATACATAAGTTGTGCATTTATATTGTAATGTATGAGTTTGAGTCTAGTAACAGAGTATTTTTAATATGCGTATATGATCCCAGACAGATAAATGAAGATAATTTTTTCACAATTTTGATTTACCTTCTCAGGCTTATAATTTTACACATCTGTTTTCCTTCCAGTTATATAGCGTTTACTTGACAAAGTGAAAGCATCCGTTGTTGCTGTCTATGTCAATTTGCTTTTCAGAAGAGGAGAGCATTTTCTTTGAATATTTTCAATGCCCTAATATTATATTTATGAATATTAAATATAATGTTCTTAAATCGAAATTCTAGCACATGCAAGATCATCTTCTCATATCAGGGTTATTGATTTACTAACAATTGGCTCTCTACCTCGATGTGAGCATTCATACAGTTTAGTAAGCAATGGTAGAATTGTGCTTGCTTCAGCATCAAGTAATAGAAATTGTATTTTTACAGGAAATGTATAACTTTAATTAAGATGTATGTTATAACTTGGGAAAATTGGTTACATTTGTTAGGTAATTTACAAATGTGCTGTATTTATGAATAGCTGCTGTAAATTAGTAAATATTCTGTAAAAGTTTTATCAATTTAAATTTTATTTTCCAGAGTAGATATGTACAAAAAGATTCATTTTATTTACACCTTACTTAATTTCAGATTGTTTCCAAATTTTATTTTTAAAATTTAATTAATATATTTGTTTACTTTTGTTCATCAAAATTATATAATTTTTTATCAAAAAATACCAGTTAGGGGACAGGTCGAAGTTTCATCGTCATCATTTATTCGTCCGAATTGTCAATAAATTGTGACAATCAATCAATGACTGAAGATTGGTAAAAGATTATCGCTGTCGGGGTCCTGCGGTCCAACGTTTGTCGGCATTACCAGTTAACGCAGAAAACAATTCATCACAATTTGGCGAAGACCGTGGGGTTTCTATTATGCTCTGCGAAGAAAATTGGAAATACCCGTTAATAATTTTAACTTTGGCTTCGTAAAGTTAAAAGCTATTTTTATAAACTTCGATGTTGAAATTATTTTTTGTTTGTTTACTAAATCATTTTTTGTTCTTTGTAAATAATCAGGTTTAATTTGTTGAGACTTTGCAGCGTGATGAACAGGAAACCATTACCTGCTTCTGTTTAGTATTTATTATTTTTGATAAATTATAAACTAACTGAGTGAACTCGTACTTCAAGAGAAAAGGGGCAAGATCAAGGCGGTAGGAGTACGAGGCAAAAGCAGATTAGCGTGAATAATGAAGACACGACCGCGTGAAAGCCTAAGCGGGTCTCCTTAAGTCTGCTCCTTCGAGTAGAAGCCGAAGCCGGAAAGGAAGGATACTGGTTAAGAGGTGGGGCGGACAGAAAGGAGGTAGAAGCAGTTAATTACTCCACCCATCTAGAGGATAACGACTTCCCCTTATTTGTCGAGAGGTGCAAACAGCCAACCCTCAGTGAAATCCCTTGGCAAGACGCTTTCTCGGATATATACCTCGAAGTCTTGGATCTGTATCAAAATTTAAATATTACCCTTTTTTGATTGGTGAATGGAGAAATTGTCCAGGTATTTTCCAGCTATACAATAAATATTTACTTATCTGCGTTTTTATTATCAAACATATTTCAATAAGTTTTACGATTTATCATACAAGTAGAAAATTCATAAGTTTTGGATTTTTCATAAAATTATTACATCGTATTACATTCCACTATATATCGTGCTTGTGATAAATTTTCACCCAATTTAAATGATAATAACAGCTATAAGCGTAAGAAATTATAGAAATTAGTTTATTAACAATAAATAGCAAATGGAGAGCAACGATTAGATTTTCGTGTTCTCAAAATTATATTAAATTATAACGTTCTTAAATATTATTATACAACATTGTAAAATACGTGGAGTTGCAATGACACTTTTGATGGAATGTGGATGTCATCGTCATTAATATCAATGTTCCAATTGCGATGTACTATACACGGACAAAGGATAGCACATGTTTTCCGGGTCACGCGTACAACGAAATAAATAAATAGGCTCATCCACGTATACTAATACGAGGAACGTAGAGAATGAGAGAAGGGAGACTAATTACGAAAGAAATCATAATAGGCGCACATGCACTGTGGGCTGTTGAGCTAACGATTGCTTCCTCTGCATCTGCACCTGTTACTGCGATCCTACGGTTGCATCGATGCACGCGAGCCGCATATGCCGATGGTCTTCCTCGGAGACACGAACGCCCAAAGCGATAATCTCCATTTGCGATCTCGCAACTTCCAGAATTTCGTAAATATTCAGAAATTAAGGGAATAGTTCGTATAATTTCCTATGTCAAACGCATTCCCTACTACGCCTTACAGTCTAATTTCTTTTCTTTCCGTTATCAATTATCGGTTCATTTCGTCAGTTATGTAACATTCCGTTCTAACACAATAACCATAATAACTAAGAAATGAATATTCATAATTTATTTACGAATATTATATTTACGACATTGTTATTTACGTTTTATTTACATTATTACGACATTTATATAAATGTTAATTGGGGCAGGAAACCTGAAAACGAGAGCGTTCCTTAACAATTTTTATTTATATCTCTCTTTTTATCATAAAGAATAAGAGACTTTAGACCATGTGACGAAATCATCGACAGTCATCCGAATTACAACCACTGTTTTTTCGCTAAAAGGATCATTAATCTTCGCTGATCATTTTGTATGAGAATGCATTTTCTCGTATGCATATTTTATCATTCCGCGAGTCATAATGTTGGACACGTGGTTCTTTTCGGTAAATTTGCCAAGTTTATTGCTTAGCGGTAATAGTTGAGTCCTAAGGGCCGAAATATGATGATATCGCGGTCTAAGGCGTCTGAAGTTATTAAAGCTAGCGCCATTCGGTTAGCATAATCGCAACTCCAGGGCTGCTGGTCGATTGCATCTCCTGGCTCCATTTTTTTCTCAATTTCGTGCATCTCGCACGCGAGGAGTAATTTTCAATAAGTGCAGCTGGCACGGTTTTGTCGTTGAGTCTCTTCTAGTTGACGCACGATCAACGGTAGCTCCGCCATTCATCTCTTATATCTTCTCTCCTTGTTTTTCCTCTAACTTTGAAAACATTGTACTCGACTGACGCGCGAGGCCAATAAGAAAGCGTAGTTTCGAACATCCGACACCTCGTACAATTGCCATTCACTTCTCACCGTAGAGCGAACAGTTTAGAGAGCAGACCCTCGGGCAAGTTCCGTGGCAGATTGATTTACATCGCAGTCAGTCTCGAGCCGGCCTGTAATCTTGCGACCACGTCGGGCAGAATACACGTGACTCTCCGCCTCATCCCTTTCGCAACCCTTAGGGTGTATTAGAGTTCGAGTGTCCTGTTGAGAGGCAACCAACTTACGTTTAATACCGTACGGATTAGTTGGTCAACTGCTGTTGATAACCAGCCATTCTTTCCCTTTTAACCTGTTAATCTTTTTTTACAACTTTGTGATCTATTTCTAGCTCGACTTGGTCCCGAATTCAACTAGCCAGAATGGATGGTGAAGATTGGCGGAACAAAGGATACAGTCTTCGAACAGTAAACGAGGTTGTGCTCCCGTTAGGACATTTCCTCTTCAAGTGTCCTCAGGAAGTACGCAGGTCATCGCGTGTACAACTCTGCGAGACGATCGTGGTTTTCTATTGTCAACGAGACACGAGAAAAGAAAGTTCATGGTTATAGGGTTACTTGATGTCTTCAGGGTCACTGTTATCCAGCGATCATTTTGCACACGATTGGCGGTGAAACTAGAACGAATTCTTCAATTCTATTGTAACGAAACGGCACGAATTTATGAAAATTCACCGATATGCTTTTCTCTTATTTTCGTTCATCTACCAGGTTTCTTCGTTTTTCTTACAGATGATGTATCAGGGAACAGGAAACAAATATTTGAGAGCATATGCAACATTTATCCTTGGTTATTTTAATACCGTCATCATTTCGCGTGTACTTCACGCTAAAATTTAATTGTCCAAGTTATATTTGTGGTAAATTACTGTGCTCTATTATACAAAGAATTTCAAGTATGTAGTTCTTTAGTTGGTACCAATTAATTTATCTTCCTCGTAGCTCAGGCCGTTTTTATTAATCTCCAAGTTGCTACCTTTCTTCAAGTACGTAAGTTCTTCGCCTGCTTGGTTTTCGTAATCGTTCAGCAGACGTTTGTCGACTGGGATGGACGTCGACAAAACCGCGTCTTGCTGTTCCCACAGGAGCGTCTTTCGTGCTGACCGTACGAACATTAATTCGGTCAGGAAGGAATGAACAGCAAGGAGAAGGGTGAAGGGCAAGGAGGAAAGGGAAGAGGGACAGAAGGGAACTTGTAACATGTGTGTAACGCAAGGGGCGTTCCGTGGTTGCGGTCCCGTCCATCTGTGGCAAGGAGTCCGGACGTAATTGCTACATCCTCAGATGCTGTTACCATACCCTTGTATGCATCGTCGGTTCGATTTACGAAAATCGTCACAAGCGACTGTTTACGTGAGACTCGCGTCGATTCGGTGATAAACACAGCTCAGATTAATTCTATGTTACTCTATTCTGTTATTCCATTACACGGGTCACTCCGATGACCTGTTTGTATTTTGACACGTTGCGTTGTACTAGCTACGAGAAACATGAATCTATAAAAAATTTGCCTCTTCGTCGTACGTTTATGTAGAAATATATGTAGACGCGAATAAGATGCAAATACCCGCGTCCTCCATGTACCCGTGATCATGGGTTCTTGCGTCACGCGACGTGCCGCGATCATCGAGGCCTGTTTTCTTCTTCTTCCTCTTCTCTCTCTTTCTCCTCAAACCGTCTCTCTTTTTGCTCGAGCTTTTTCGTGAACGGTCACTCGTTGCACGTGAGGACGAATTCCCGCGGGTGCAAATCGTCGTGAAATTGACGGTTCCTCCGAAGGTGAATGTCAATTTGACGTATGCCCGAGGTACGTCGGAATTAACGATTCAAGAATTTCTTTGCTCCATCGATGCTAAACCTCTTCCTCTTCTTTAAGCCCTTTTCGTTAGTTTCGTCCGTAGCTCTGGTTTTTAAAATACTTCTGCGTCCATTACACAGAGTCAGTATCGTCATTTTCTAAAGCGATTGGGAAAAATCTACGTTTCCTTCCATAAGGAGGTACCGCGTTAAACGAGCATTTTGTTGACAGGAAATAACCATCCCATTTCGCAGCAGTTTTTACGACGCTTAACAATGGCGGTGGAAGGTTAACTCACCTGACAAATAAAAGCGCGAATGACGATAATGTCATAAATCTTCATTAACAAGAATAGAAGGTATATACATATAGCTTGTTAATACGACGCTATGAACCAAGGCGTTTCCCTTGTATCTTCCTTTAATTTTCGAATTACTTTTCCTAGGTACTTGCGCG